CAAGCGCTTATAGTGCGTGTGCCTTTCTCCATATCCCCTTCTCTCCTTCTCCACCACACCATGGCAGTGTCCGGGACTTGCCATATCAACTTTCTATTCCTCTTTGAGAGAGCTCGGATGTATTACTCCATGCTTCATATGAAGTTATCCAGTTTGTTCGCATTCCTTAACTCTTTGTAGGATTTGGGTCGCGGAATATCTATCTTAGAAGATGAAGTCCTTACCTCAGACGTTGATGTACTACCTTGTGCAAGACTCATGATTTGCACACCCACATTATCACAATCACGAGAAACTCTGGTGCGTGACACTCTCTTGTGTAACAAATGCCAAACTTCTTCGCCTCTAAGAAAGTTGTGGAAGTACCCGTGTCTACAAGAGGTTTCACGGTGTGGAAGAGTCTCACTCCCCCCAATCAAGCAAAAAAATCATACACTCTCTCCATTTTCATCTTTATCAATAAATCTACATTGAACCATTCTCCCGAAACCTATGTCACAGGCTTGGCGCAATACAAAGTACCCGTGCGGCGTCCCAAGGCCCATTATTTTTCTTAGTTTACCTTGGGACCAACTTTTCCCCCTCATATACGTGCTAACTGGTTTCGCCCTTCATGGGAGCAGCATGAGCTCCTGACCAGTTGTGCCAAGTATCTTGCATGGTCTCCTTCATAGTCAAGTCCCAGACTAGTGACAAGCTCCCCAAACCTAACTCAGCCAGACTTCTACATACAAGGCAATACAATGCCTTGATGCTGTTGCCGCCCACATCATCACAATCATGAGAAAGTCTGGTGCATGACACTCTTCCCCACTCAAACTCTAGCACGCCCTCGTGCTAGGAGGAAAATGACTCTGCTCGAGTTTCTTCGTAATGATATAGTTCATGTGTCAGGCATGGAATCATTACCCTCTTCTTAAGTAGGACACATGGTGTTCCAATCATCCCCATAGACGAAACCTACAACAAGCGTGTTGTCACCCCTTGGACAGTCTTCCCAATTAAGACGTGCAACATTCCACACTCTTCGCCAACAAACAAACAATATTCATACGAACCGCTCTGATACCATTTGTCACGGGCTTAGAGGCTGGCACAACACAAAGTACCCGTGCAGCGTCCCAAGGCCCATTATTCGTCCTAGTTCACCTCGGGACCAGCCTTTTCCCCTCATATACGTGCTAACTGGTTTCTGCCAAGGCTCATCAGGGGAGCGGCAATAGCTCTTGACCAGTTGTGCCAAGTATCTTGCATGGTCTCCTTCATAGTGAAGTCTCAGACTAGCGACAAGCTCCCCAAGCTTAACTGGGTCGACTTGCCTAACTCGGCCAGACTCATGCATACAAGGCAATACAATGCCTTGATGCTATTTCCGCCCACATTCTAGCCAATGGCAAGACTCATGATAAGCACGCCCACATCATCATAATCACGAGAAACTCTGGTGCGTGACACTCTCCTTTGTAGCAAATGCCAAACTTCTTCGCCTTTTTTTCTCTAAGAAAGTTGTTCGAAGCACCCGTGTCTACAAGAGCTTTCACAGTGTGTCCCCCAATTTTGGCTTCTACGAACAACCGCCCTTTCTTTCCGGACATGGGCATCTCCACCTTTGCCTTGATCACGTTGAGGAGTTGTAAAGATCCTACTCTCTCCTCTTCCCCTTCTTGCTCCTCCCGTTCCTCAATCAATGCCGAGAGTTTTGCCTTCTTTGGGCATTCCCTTGCCCGATGTGGACCCTTACAAAAGAAGCATTTTAGTGGAGGTCTCTCTTCAGTTTTGTACTCCTTGTCTCCCTTTGTCTTCTCGGTTGTCTCTTTGCCTTGGTGGTGGTCTCCCCCACTCATTCCCTTGCCATCCTAATCTTTTGGCTTTGGCTTCTTGGGCTTCTTGAACTTGATAAGGGACTCGTCAATGGAAATGGCGGTGATTAAGTCTTGAGCACCACGTCTTTGAATCTCAAGTTTAGCCCACTGCTGCAACCCATCCATAAAGGCAAAGAAAGTACCTCAGTGAACTCCTTCACGTATTCTCGAATGCTTCCTTTATGTTGAAGTCGCCTCAGATTGCCTCGGGCCTCCTTTTCCACATTGTTAGGATAGAGTTATTTCTTGAGTTCACTCCTAAACTTGGCCCAAGCGCTTATAGTGCGTGTGCCTTTCTCCATATCCCCTTCTCTCCTTCTCCACCACACCATGGCAGTGTCCGGGACTTGCCATATCAACTTTCTATTCCTCTT